AAATAAATTCACTTACCTTTCTACCTCTTAACTTACCTTTCTATCTCTTCTTAACTTACCTTTCTACCTCTTCTTAATTTACCTTTCCTCAGATTTGTGTTCTTGGGCTCGCGAAATAACACAGACGATCGCAAAATGGTATAAATAAGGTTTTTCTTTTTTATTATTATTATTATTTTTTTAATAAATATATTTACTTACCTTTTTACCTCTTTTTAACTTACCTTTCCTCAGAATTATGCTTTTAGACTCACAAAATAGTATAGATACTTACCCTTGTTTTGAAATCATGATTGTAAATTTGTAATATGTATTAATATTATTTTTTTTAAAAAAAAACAGATTTTTTAATAAAAATTTTTACTAATAATTTAATTTTAATTTTAATTTTGACTTTTATTTTAATTTTGATTTTTATTTTTAATTTCAACTCTTATTTTAATTTTGACTTTTATTTTTAATTTTGACTCCTGTTTTTAATTTCGACTTTTATTTTAATTTTAATTTTTATTTTAATTTCAACTCCTATTTTAATTTTGAAATATCAAAATTTTGAAATGGTATTTTGAAGTTAATTTTGAGATATTTATATTTCAGGTTTTGGGTTCTAAAATAATTTTGCATGCAAGTATAATTTCAACTATAATAATTTTTATAATCCTAAAGTAATTGGATTATTGATTTTCTTTGTAATAAACCTATAATTTATATTAAAACTCTGTTCTTTTTATTAATTTATATTCTTCGAATATAAATTCTGTTCCATAAATTTCTGTTACCACTTTATAAACCATAGATAAATATATTTAATTTTTTGTTTTAATTTCTTAACTTGACCTTTAAAATTTAATCATTAATCAATAGTTAAATCCCGTGATCCTAAATCTTAAGTCCTTTAATTAGTTTTTAGTATTAAACTTTAATATTTCTTAAAGTCTTCTTTTATTATTCTCTTGCATTTGTAAACTAAAGTAATTGTTTACAAGTTGCTAGTTGCAAATTGTCTTTTGGAAAATAAAATTAGTTCAAAAGATCAACTAGTAACAACGTTATAGCTAAGTGAACATAACCTAAGCCAAGTGGAAATAACATAATTATATTATTTCCACTTAAACCATTGATAAATATATTTAATTTTTTTGCCTTAATTTCTTAAATCGACCTTTAAAATTTAATTGTTAATCAATATTTAAAACCCGTAACAATAAATTCTTAAGTTCTTTAATTAGTTTTAGTATTTAACTTAAAATATTTCTTTTATTCTTCTTCTATTATCTTCTTCAATTTGTAAACTAAAGTAACTATTTACAAGTTACTAGTTGTAAATTGCCTTTTGGAAAATAAAATTAGCCCAAAAGGTTAACTAGTAACAATATCATATATTTTATTATATATAGATTTCTGTCTTGTATTTTATTTCTCATATATCAATAAAGCCAACCCTGGTGGTTGAATTATCATATATAATTATATTAATATACTTTGTTAATGTGATTATTGTTTCTGATTGGGCACATGATCAAGGGACTAGTTGTATATCCTTATATAGTCGCATATTGAAAAATTAAACTATACACCTGAAATAGACATCCCGAAATAGATTTAACCCCGAAATAGATCGTGCAACGATTATCCCAGAAATAGAAACAATCTTGATTGGTTGATCGTTGTAAATATGTAACTTACCGATTATCGACGATTACTTACATTCCCACGTTTCTATTCGTCTTGAGTAGGACATGGGCTCTAGGATTATATAATTCTAACGGCTCGTCGAACTGCGTTGCTTTTGTCTATTAATAATACACTGTAGCCTTTTTTTCAATTCAATCTTTCACAGACGTTACAATGAACACTAACTCATCCAATAAGCGGACAGAAGAAGCTATGTCGAAGGAAACACCAACACCACCCACGAAGAATTTGTCACGAGAAGCCCGCAAACGTAGAAATAAAAGGCTTAAGTGGGAACGTGAGCATGAGCACGAACAGAATGAACCCATCCAAATACCAGAAGAAAAGATACCACCCGTTTCCGACCTTTCTACTGAGCTTAATACTTTTGATCCGTCGAGGGTATATTTATTTTTGTAGATTCGAGTGTTGGCATTTTTCAGGCCCTTTAGGGCGCCTCTTTGAGACATATTTCCTTATCTCCATTATGAGGGTATGGATCGTTAAATTATTCATGTCGCCATTAGCGAGGAGAGGAATATGGCGTAGTGTTCCCACTGAGCTATAAGACATGAAATAGTTTAGCAGAATTCACCTCGTAACTGTTTTCGTTTTACCAATATATAAATACTTTATTTCTACTTAACTTAGCATAAAACTCAACCCGAGAGTCGTAAATTAACCAAAGAAGATACTCAACAATATATTTTATCTCGGTGGGTTTCAGAAGATTTCCTTGCTAGCGACCTTAGAACGAGTAATAACGAGCAATCGGCAGTCTATACGGATCCTCGGCTTACCTTTCAGGAAAAATTCCTCGAAAAAAGACGGCAAAGGCTAGTTGTTCGGGAGTTATTTGACCAGTGGTTGCTTCAACTAAATACTATAAAACCAGATACGTATACGCTAGATTTTTGTGTGCTTTCTATCCATCATCTCGACATAATTTCGGACGTTATTAAAAAAATATATATATGATTATAGTGATAATGATAGCAAGAAATCCCTAGCACCATATTGTACTCAGCCGATTCCAACTTCCTTCGAATTTCCTGCGAAATTTATGGATTTATTAGAGACGGAAGTTTTCAATCGCAGAGATTCTTCGGCATCATCAGAGCTGGAACGATCAAAATCATCGTGGGAAAAGTTCGCACTTTGGGCATGTTTCAAAATTGGTCCGAATTATATCCTACAGCATCGTCGACATTGCCATCTTCTTTGGACTCGAACCCTAAATGTATATCAACATGAAGCTCAGAACAAGCCACTTGAAGGTCATAAAATCAATGAAATATTTCTCCGAAATCCAAAAGACAAACTCTATATCGCGGACGAAACAACGAAAGAGGTTATAAGCGGGAACAAACTTGGAAGATATTATCACATTTCTGATTCACAGTGTCTTAAGAATTCCTTTGAAGAAACTATAGTGGATTTTTTCGATCTTGATAATCAAACGGCCGTGGGTGGTGCTCGAATAGCGGTGGATCAATATTATCAACATACAATTGCCCATCCTTCACACCTGTCAAAACAATTTGCAAAGGACTTGATCGAACATTTTGGTGGATTTGCGGATAGCAACAACCTTCCGTGTACCGCAGCAAATACCGCGTCCTCCCACCGTGAAGAGCATCAAAAATGTGTCCGAGATTTAATAAAAGGCCTCCGACCGCTTTCTAACGCGGTTAATAAGTATCTAGAAACCACTTACCCAGCTTTATATCTTAAGATGACAAACCTTGATCTTGGACCAAATATTCCAAAATTATTCGGAGCTTTCCCACCGTCAGCATCAATTATAATATTATCTGTCAATTTCACCGTGATTTGAAAGATCATCGAAATACTCTCTGTGTTGTGTGCCCACTCCAAAAATAGATATTTTTTCGTTTATGTATTTTACTATATATCCGGAATCTTTGTGCCCATATATTTTATTTGTATCAATAAAGTTAAGCCGGTTTTGCATATAATCAATTTTTACGTGTATTTTATCAAATCGGTAAAATGTAGATGATCATGTATTTCTGGAATTTATGACAAAGATATTAAGATTTGTGTGTTGATATCAATGCTATATATGTCGAGTCTGGAAAATTTGAACGACCCGAGGTCTGCAAAAGTGCCAGCAATCATTAACAGAAAATTTGTTATATGTAACAAAATGGGTAACATCAAAATCGCATAATTATACATGATAAAAATCTTTTTGAATGTATTGATATTCTCTATGTATTATGAAAATTGCAAGATTGATGTTGCCTTTATCATTTATTATACTCCGCTTATATTATTTTTTTTTCCTTTATGATTTTTGTATTGCCTGTACGAGGCTTGTTATGACTTATTTCCGAAAGAACTCGCAAATTATGAGCATTACTGTAGCGCGCACTCCTTCTGTTTCTCACCGTTCGGAACTCTTGATCGGTATCCCTAACCATCAACTACACGATAAAAAAACGATAGATGAAATCAGTAAAAGCAAATCCAAAATAACAAATAGTTATATTACTTACAGCCCAAGTCACAACTGCCTTAAAAAAAGATGGAAATAAATCAACACCTTCCAGATCCGTTGGAATTTCGCATGTTTCGATTTCGAAGAGCCGATATTTTCCTGAAAAAAATGAAAAAAATTTTGTTAGCAAAACAATCCCTTCTTGTAACAATGTTTGTAAATATACGTATATACCTAAATAATCCATAAAGTAAAATCTAAGACTTAGTCCAATACTCTGCACCATATAGGCCTTAAATTGTAAAGGCGGAGCTCGCTTCAGTTTAACTTCAGACACAACAGTGTAATTTATTATATCTTTTCCTGCCCTCGCATTCTGAACAAAATCAGACATTTCTTTCGTGTCATCAACGACATATGGCCTAGATCCTTCTATAACACATATTTCATATTGTTTTTCGGTAATAATGTAAGCGAGGCCGTCTGAACGATCTGTATATCCCTCTTGCCTCATTACTAGTTTCCTATACGCAGACGCTTGAACAGCCTTGTTACCTCTATAAAAAAAAAAAAATCAAAACTTAACACAATAATATAAAAAATATTGTTAGGAATAATACTTACTGTATATAACGAATATTCGAAAACCTGTGCAAAGCCTTCTTTAGAACGGGATGGATGTATGTATTCATGTACTCTTCTTCCAACATATTGTGATTTTTGAGTGGATTATCATAGAGCATTGAAAATGCATCAAAGCTAAAAGACAAATAAAAATGTCAATAAATAATGGTTTTAACTGAGAATAATAAAAGTTACTTACAAGATGGGCAACGTTTCGAATAATAGTCGTTTCAATTTTTTTAAAAATTGATCTTCTTCCGGTTCTAATAAGCTTTCTAACTTATCATCCCATTGTTCGTGAGTGCAAGTCTGCCAAGATATAAATTGTGATGATGTAATTGACAAGCAAAGAGACAAATTACCACTGGATAGTATAAAACAATACCTCTGAAAAAAACTCATTAAGGAACTTAATTGCGCTTTCTGGAAATAACTCATCAACGGACTCAAAGGTCTCTCTTAGAACTTGCATGTAGTCATCTTCATCCGTATATCTTAGTACGAACTCCGAAGACGGAGTAAGATCCATAATTTCGTTCTTAGTTAATTCATTGACAGATTCGTTACAATATTTTTGAAAACATTCCACTAAATTTTTCATTTTTTCTGAACTACGCAACTCGTTTAGGAGATTTTTAACCTGACTGTGATCATTATCATTCTGTAAAATTCATTTTAATTGTTTAGATATTTCTATGTCCACACAAAGTAAATAAAGGATTGCAATACCTACCAAATTATTCCCTTTTTCTTTTTCCTGCTTCTTCACACCGCTATCCTCAACTTTACAAGATTTTGAATTTTCTTTCTCAATATAGTCATCATTTTGACGTTTCTATAAAAAGAAAAGTATATTGTTAACTACTCTTAAAGAGTTGTATATTAGTAATATTCATAATCTTACCAGATTTTTATCATTGTCACCCGAATTTTCCATTTGCTTGGATAATTCATTCCTTTGATACGATGAAGCAGTGCTCATCACTTTTAGAGTGTTTAATTGTATTTCGACATTTGTATCATACTGTTTAACAATATACAACAGTATTAGATGAATTAACGATTGAAACGTATCCACTAATCGTTATATACCTGTTGTTGTTTTAGAGTTCGTTTCTTTTCAAATCGGTTCCAGAATTCAGTGGCTTTTGAATCCTTAAACAAAAAAAAAATAAATTATCTATTAGCCTTGCTTTATTTATATGTAATTATACAAAGATCATTGATGCTTGCTACACATTGCACCGAGGGCGTCACCTAGCTCCAGAAGTTAACAGGGCGTCACCTGCTTCCAGTGGTGCAGTGCATAAGTACAAGCACTGTATATTGTACCGAGGGCGTCACCTAGCTCCAGGAGTTAACAGGGCGTCACCTGCTCCCAGTGGCATAAATACAGTCTGGAAATAATCTGGTAACGAAATCTGACCTGAATAAGAAGAGTTGTTGCAATAGTACATTTCTCCTCATCCGAACGATCTTTTTCGATTTCTCTTAAATGTTCGTTGAATCGTTTCCTCCATAAAGATTTTAATGCACTCAATCTGGTGCTGTTATTAATGCAATGTTCCACGGCCTCGAGATACCCAGAATATGACCAATCACTCGTAGGAGTTGACGTAAAGTATTTCTCGCCTACAATTTGTGAAATCTTGTATTGTGACGACATTGTTTAGCGCGAAAGTAAACAACAGATTTTTTATAAACTACCCCAAGATCTTCAGAAATCGGTTACAGTAACGTGACCGTACGTATGATGTCTTCAGCCAGTCATCAGCTTTGAAATATTGTGTCGCATGTGGAATTTTCCTTTGCAAAGATGATCGACAAATTTGAAAATTTAAACGGATGGTATCTTTATATGAAATAATGGCAAATACACAATCCAAAATTGATTTACTAGAAGAACAGAATTCCAAACTTATAGCCGAGATTACTGAACTAAAAAGGGAGAAAGCTGAACTATTGGCTAAGGATTTGTGACTAGAATAATAGAATTAGGACAAAATGCTGAGAAAGCTTAATGCTAGAATCATGGAGCTAGAACGAACAGCAAAAGAAAACAAAGAGCGTTTTACAAAATTGGAACAGAAGCAGTTGCAAAACAATACTGTAGACAGATTAGATGACAATAATTTTTCTGAAAATAATTTTAATGTATCCAACTCTGTTATTAACTAGCACATTAATACTAACTCCAAATAATTAGAGGATCAAGAGATCAATGATTTTCTTGATCTAAAAGAAAAAGAAAAGATTAGTAATGAAATAAGACAATGTAATAAGGAAAGGAAGCTTCTACGTGAATCAGATAAAAACCATTCCCAGAATTTAATTCCAGTTAACCATGATATTTCTTCAAATATATATACAATTCTGAAACCATTAATGACCAGGATTCATTTTCTATATCCCATAATATTTTGTCCAATGATTCGCATAAACAGAAAAAGGGAGAAGCTTTAATACATGAGATATCTTTCAAAAAAAATTTACCTTCAGATCAGTACAAGTAGACATATCCATACCAAAAGAATACATATATCACGGATGTAGAAAAAAAATGAATAATCAAAATATCATCAACTTATACCAAAATGCATGCAATGTTGAAGAGAGTGCAATAAAAGTTAATCAAGAAGAAATATTATGCTGGTATTTATACACTAAAGAATTCAAAAATTTAGTTAGAGATTTTATAACCAAAAATAACATTGGCAAGAAAAAAGCAAAAGATCAAGTTTACGACTTTATTATAGAACAACTATCTAATACTAAATGAGAAAATTTATATAAGCAAACTCAGAGAGTCATGAAAATCTTTAATTTATTCAAAAAAAATAAGAACAGATAAGATTTAATACATCAAAACTTATAGTACAAATTCTCTCTCAAAATTTACTAATGAAAAACTTCAAAAGGTTATTGACTATTTCTCCAACAATTGTGATAATTCTTTTACAGAAATTTTGACAACCTTGGATCTTTCAAATTGTATAATTGAAATTTCTGAAACAGAGATATGTGTCCCAATTACTTCTTCTATCTCATTGTCTTATATCTCTAATTCAGAAAATAATATAGGTGAAGTTAAATCTTTATTGAAAACTGAAGTAAGTATATTTACTGAATCTTATGTTTTCAATTTATCTTGTTCAAAGTCAGCTCAAAAAAACAATTCCAAAATTAGTCACAAGGTGTCCTGCTCTGCAAAGGTAATCACATTACCCAATTCAACTCATGATCATGTTTACTTTTGTAATAAGATATTGTTGTGATATTTTGATCTATATAAAATATTTATTTCTGAAAAATTTGATCATTATGAGATTATTGAAGGTTAATTATGTCCAGTATAAAAACTAGATTACGAAGATAGGAAAAGTGTAAAAGGGAAATACAAAGCTGAATCCTATTTTATTATATGTGAAAAGCATAAAATCGAAATAACAGTATAAATCTCACCTTCTCATAGTAACTGCTCGAAATCAGAAAAAATTACCAGAGGCAAGTACTTTATGGTCAGATAATATATACTTTTACTAATTAAGATCCTTTTTCGAATTGGAGAGGAAAAGGGTATAGTTACTATGTGACTACCTTCGGTAATTATTAATTAACAATATTTATTTTTTTAATTACTATTTCAGAATATACATAGTGTTTAAGTGAGACAAAGACATTTAATTTGAATTTACAATTATATAAAACAATAATATGGATAAAGCCTATTTCAGAGAAATGACACTTTGTACCTTAACCTCTGAATATTTGAACTGGTATATTAAATTGATTAAAGTATCAAGTTTTTGACTGATAAAATTCATTTGATCTTATATAGAGAAGAGACTAGATTTGATCTCTGGGTAAAATCTGAATCTTCACAAATCAAAAAGGATGTTGATAATCATATCTTATAAGACAGTTTACTGAAAACTCAGATAGTATTGCCAAACAAAATTTACATCTCCTTAATTTTCAAGATTAATCCAAACAAAAATTACCTTTATCAGTATACTATTAAACATGAAATAAATTTCAAAGAATTTTCGATTATTAAGAGGCTAAGAAAAATAGATAAACCATAGGATATTTTCATAAGGATTTGGAAAGAAATATACATTTCTATTGTGGTGAAATAGAAAGAAAAGAAGACCTTAAAAAATATTGTAAATTTTTAACAGATTGGAAGAGACTAGTTGATGAAGAGTTATTATGTCAAGCTATACTAAAAAGTGATTTGAGTACTGCATAGCTTGATAATCTTATAGAGGAATAGAAAAAAATCTATGCTCAATTCACACAGATTATACATGTTCCTAAAATTGATTTTAAATTTTTGAGGTATTTTGACTTTTTGAGATTTATGCAGAATCTATTCTATATATAGAAGTAAAAAAAGTATCTAGTTATGTATATCTTTAATCAAAGAATAAATCTGAATAGTCAAAAAATTTTAAGTTTTAAGTAAAATAATTTCGTTTTTTATGAAAAACTATTTCAACTTTTTTTCTCGAAATTGTAATTTCGGAACTCCAAAATAATTAAGTATAAAAGTATATTCAAAAATTAATTTCATGATAATAATAATTATGTTTTTGACTTTAAAATATTATTGTCATTCTATTTCTTTATTAGTATTATTGCTTTTTTTTTTTTTTTTTTTTTTATATCCGACGGAGTCTTGCTCCAATAAACTTTATTAATAGATTAAGTGTAAATTTTAAAGATACAGATAATTTATTTACATTTATTAAAACTGACTAAAAATAAAATATCACCATCCAACTTATCGTTGTCTAAGTATAACCTCAGGAACTGATGGCTAAAACCCTATCAGATATAATTATTATATCTATAATTATAATTAATATTATATTTGCATCTTACATTTATCCACATTCTAAATTTATACATTGTACTTTTTTCTATTAGTTCAATTTTATTATATTTCCCCTCAATAAATTCTACTGATTCTGAACTACTATCAATATTTTTATCACTGCATTCTTTTATTTTCCTCCTGCTTTTTAAAAAATTTTTCTTCTTTTTTTGTCTTTTTAGTTTGTTTACAATATTGTTTTCAGTTTTTCATAATATTACTTTTTTATATTATTCTTTCTAGTGATCTTTTAAATATTCTTTGAAACTAATCATTCCTTTAATAATTAATTCTTTAACTTTTCCTCTTAATTTCAATATTGATGTAACTTTATAAACTAATAAATAAAGTATTGTCACACTTGTGCAGAATATTTCAAATATTTTCTCAAATCAGTCTCAAAGTTTGCATCACATAAATGTAATAATATGCTCTATCTGCCAGTAGGTTACAGCTAATACAATTGATTTAACTGATGTAACGGGTTGTTCTAATTCGTTTATAATTACAAATAAAAGAAAGCAAATTGAGACAATTCGGTCAAACAGAATATTTAATAAATAAATAATTAATTATTTGAGCAGAATGAAATCTACCCTTTTCTTTATTATTCTTATACCTTATTTATATAAAATTACAAAAGTAAAAATACATAATAAAA